CAAAAAAAAATCCATATGGAAGGGATAGGCCAGAGGAAGGGAGCCAATCGTTGGACACTTTTTGGCCTTCCCTACTACAAACCTGGCGCAAACTCCCACTCCCAGATAGGACCCAGCCCGAGCGGTGGGAGGAGGTCTATCGACAACCCCTCTTTGGCAATAGATGGGTGACAGACACAAGGGGCCGTGTGATGATAAGTTCATCCCCACCCTGGAAGAACTGGGTTAAACACGGGGTACTCAGGGTGGGGGACCTCTGGGATAATGATAAGCATGACTGGAAGATAGGGGACCAGTTGCGAGCAACCCTACGATATTGCCACCACGTAGAAGATTCATTGGAAAACCTTATTGAAGTCATTCCACTAGAGTGGTACCGGATCCTCAGACGAGGCCCCACCTTGAGAGAGGGTGACTGGGTGACAACCATAGGGTTCCCGCAGCAGATTGGTTTGGTACACATGATTTCCCCCCAAACGGTCCTGACTGAAAACTACATTATCACAAAAACCAACACTCTCCAAGGGAGGTGGGTGCCCTTCGAATGGAGAAGCAGAACATCAGTTTATCGAGTGAGAATTATTGAGGAGAAGGGACAGAGGGTGGCTTTTCAACCAGATAAACCAATCCAGGATTTGGCCCTGGACCCGGTGGAATGGACCTGGCAGCCCCCCCAAAAGAGGGGCGCCCCCAAGCCAAGCCCCATTACCCTACACCTACTAACTGTTAAATCAGCATACAAAATGCTCCGACCTAAACGGCAGCTGAGAGACATGATCAACGATAGATGGGCCAGATAATTGAATGTCGATCGCTCCCTCTTGTCACCAATCCAATGGTTCAAGGAACAAAAGCACAAGCCCATGAAAATCACCTCCCTACAGTGGCAGATTGCCCACCGCTGTCTGTCAACCAATGACTGGCTAACCGACCGAATGAATCTCGAACAAAGAGGTCTCTTGCTTTCATGGTGCCAACGATGCCAGAGCCTCTTCCCCTTCCACAAGAAGGTGGAAACCATTGAACACATTTTTATGCAGTGTCCGGTTGCCCAATTCATATGGAGATGCTGGGATCGTATTTGGCGAAAAATGGAACCGGACACCCCCTGGCTCTGGTCATGGCAAGCCATATTGGCTGGACATTGGTCTCTGGCAGGGACAGCCACATCTTTTATAGAAAACATGTACAGAATCGGGAGGAGGGCGGTGATGTGGGCACTCTGGTGGCAGAGGTGCACCCTGGCCATGGAAAAGGTACGGGTAGAGGGCGCAGAGATCACGGAACAAATACAGCAACAAATACACCTTGAACTCACACGTAGATGGCGAGACACAAGAGCACAGCTAGACCTTTTTCAACAGACTGGGGACGTCAGGAGAAGGATAACGGTATTTTGCATGGATTGGGTAGGGGGGGAAAGAGAAGGTTGGATTGCAAAAGTGGTATGGAGCGGAGATCACGTAGAAGGGATGAGGGACTTGGAAGAGATAAGAGATTATAGGTTAGAATTCAAAGATTCGAGTAATATAGAGACTTCGTTCCCATTACGCCCTCCCTCGGATTTCCCAAACCCCTTCCCACCCCATGCCCTGTCCCGGGCGGAGATTTTGTCCTAAAAGCAATATCGATAACCTACAGATGGAACCCGACGCTCCTTGGCCCTGGACATGGCGAGCCATACTGGCTGGTCACTGGGTTTTTGCAGGAACAACCACAGCCTTCATAGAGAATATGTACAGACTAGGAAGGAGGGCGGTAATATGGGCGCTCTGGTGGCAAAGATGCACTCTGGTCATGGAAAAGGTAAGGGTGGAAGGGGCAGAGATCACAGAACAGATCCAACAGCAAATACACTTTGAAATCACACGTAGATGGCTGGACACCAAAGCACAGTTAGCGCTCCTCAGACAAACTGGGGACGTTAGGAGACGGATTACGACATTTTGTACGGACTGGTTGGGTGGGGAAAGAGAAGGATGGATGGCAAAAATAGAATGGAGCAGGGACAAGGACGAAGAGATACGGAACCTGGAAGAAATAAGAGACTATAGGTTAGTTTTCAAAAACTGGACTAACATAGAGCCCTCTTTTCCATTGCGCCCTCCCTCTGAATTCCCGGACCCCTTCCACCCACATGCCTTGTCCTTGGCAGAGGTTCTGCCCTGAATGTGATATCTGATTCCTGTAAACCCTGTAATCCCCTCTGTTTACATACCAAATGCCCGAATGCGGAACTCTTCTCTGGTGGCCCCTGGAGAAGACCCCGCGAAGGACAGCTCGAGCAGTCTGAGACATAGGGCAGGATCTGGTGCTCGTTCGGGAGCAGTCAGTCTATGGCATTATTAGTATCAGCTCTGAAATGTTGATCTGGCGCCCTCCTTTGAGGGTGAAGAGATACACAATACTCTATGCACCATATAGGACTGCACTACCGAACTCCTTACTGGCCTGCTCAGTCAATCCCCTTCTCCTTGGAGGGCAATCAATGCTGGCAGACCCCATCTTTCATGCTCAGACTCTCTCATACTTTCTCATACCTCCTCATACCTTCTCATACATCTCTCATACATTCTCAGACCCTTTTGTTGGGACACTGGACCTGTTTTCCAGCAGGTGATGCTCCCCACCAATAGATGGAGCCTCTCCCTAGGTGTTAGTGGTGTCTGCTCCTATCAGCAGCACTAGCATTGGTGGGGGGGTTTTTTTAAAAAAAAAAAAAAAAAAAAAAAAAAAAAAAAAAAAAAAAAGATAACCTACCCTCCTCATACCCCTGACGATCATCATTCTACTTACACTTCCTCTAGATGCCCGCGCGAGGAACTCCTCCTTAGTGCCCCCTGGGGAGGACCTCGCTCATTTACCAATGAGTGTCACACTCAACAAATGCAGTAAGCATTGGCAGTCATCAGACTGGGTTTGGAGCAAGCAGCCGGTAAACAGTATCAGTCCCCAACTTCCTATCTGGCGCCCCCCTTCTGAGGGTGAAGACATACAAAGGCAACAGCAGTTTTCCAAGGTCTACACGTCTGCTCAGTTAATCCCCTGCTCTGCAGGGCAATCAATGCTGGGAGGCAACAGTAGTTCTCCACTCCCATAAAAGGCTGCACTTTTGGCTTTCACATGCACATTTGGCTTTTGGCCTCTTACACAAGCCTGCTCAGTTAATCCCCTGATTCTGCAGGGCAATCAATGCTGGCAGGTCCCACAGCCACTCACAGTCACGGGTTTCAGATTTTCCCAAACTATTCTCTTCTCTGTAAATGGGACGCTGGACCCGATTTCCAGCAGGTGACGCTCCCCACCAATAGATGGAGCCTCTCCTTCGGTGCTAGTGCAGTCTGCTCTTATCAGCAGCACTAGCACTGGAAGGGGTTATTTCGGAAAAAAAAAAAAAAAAAAAAAAAAATAGCGGAATACCCCTCTGACACAAAAAGATGTTTTGCAAAATGCCCCTGGCATCAGTCGGACCCGCCATCTTTGCAAAATACCCCTACCAGGTACTGTCCATCTTTGCAAAATGTCCCGGTACTTGCCAACTTTTCCCAGGGCCTATTTATTTTCGTTTTACCCCTACCGGCCCAGGTCATCTTTGCGTTTTGCTCCGTCATTCATCGTCGCAGGCTCGCAGCTCCACCCTGGTAAACTTCCCCATCTCCAACTTGTCCTCCCCCACCATTCCTCCAAGTTCTCCTCCTTTGCCACGTCACCATCTTGGAGTTCGAGATCCTCCTGCCCGCCACTCTCTCTCTCTCTCTCTCTCTCTCTCTCTCTCTCTCTCTCTCTCTCTCTCTCTCTCTCTCTCT